TCCATGGTTATCCGATTGGCGTCCTTCGGGATACCCCGGCGCCCCTTACCCTTTCCTGAGGTACGCCTACTGCCTCTACCTGTCCCCAGGAACATTTCTTCGCACTGCGGCCCCGTAACGGATGCCAGGAATGCCAGCATACTTCTGCCATGTAATCTTCGTCGCTCGCCTTTACCTCCCACCTCCACCCTTGCCCTTTGACCCAAACGCCCGTCGGACCACACGTCGTACCTTACGCACTGGTTTCTTCATAAAGCGTCTCCATCGGCGTTTGTGTTTCCGGCGCCCTAGGAATAACCGCTGCGCCCGCTGCTCATCGGTGAGATACACAGGCATATCGGAGTAGTCCAGGGCACCAGCCCCCTCATCTGATGAGGCGTCGGCGTCAGTACCGGAGTCAAATTCAGACTCGGCGGGTTGCCCCGCAGAGCCTACAAGCGCAGTGGCTGGGGCAGGGGCCGCCGTTGCCGACGGCCCCCGATAGCGAGCCCATGAGTCTTGCGACCCCATAGGCTGGCCACCGCGTTGGATTTGCAAGGCGGTGGCCTCAGTTGGTCGTGGATCGTCGTTCCAGACGACGTAAGCAGGCTGCCCAGCATCAGCGTCGGCATGAGAGGTTTCGGCGCGATGACCGCGGCTAAATATACCACCAACGTTGTCAGGGGTTCGTTCAGCAATGTGGGCATAAGACCTCATGCGCTCTAGCAGAGAAACAAACTGTTGCTGGGTCCTTGGCGTTTGGTTTGCGCGGCTGCAGCATTTGCCACGCACGCGAAGTTCCAAACGCCCAGAGCTCTAAACAAGATACCAGGTAGGATCTGCAAGTTGGGAATATCGAAGCCTGCGGTCTGGTCTCGCACTGCGGCCCCGTAACGGATGCCAAGAATGCCAACATACTTCTGCCATGTAATCTCCGTCGCTCGCCTTTACCTTCCACATCCACCCTTGCCCTTTGACCCAAACGCCCGTCGGACCACACGTCGCACCTTACGCACTGGTGTCTTCATAAAGCGTCTCCATCGGAGTTTGTGTTTCTGGCATCCTAGGAATAACCGCTGCGCCCGCTGCTCATCGGTGAGATGCACAGGCATATCGGAGTAGCCCAGGGCACCAGCCCCCTCATCTGATGAGGCGTCGGCGTCAGTACCGGTGTCAAATTCAGACTCGGCGGGTTGCCCCGCAGAGCCTACAAGCGCAGTGGCTGGGGCAGGGGCCGCCGTTGCCGACGGCCCCTGATAGCGAGCCCATGAGTCTTGCGACCCCGCAGGCTGGCCACCGCGTTGGCTTTGCAAGATGGTGGCCTCAGTTAGTTGCGGATCGTCGTTCCAGACGATGTTAGCAAGCTGCCCAGCATTAGCGTCGGCACGAAAGGTTTCGGCACGACGACCGCGGCTAAATATACCACCAACGTCGCCAGGGGGTCGCTCAGCAATGTGGGCATAAGACCTCATGCGCTCTAGCAGAGAATCAAACTGTCGATGGGTCCTTGGCATTTGGTTTGTGTGGTTGTAGAATTGATACGCACGCGATGTAACACCAACACCCAGAGCTCTAAACAAGATACCAGGTAGGATCTGCAAGTTGGGAATATTGAAGCCTGCGGTCTCGGCCTCAAAGCGTCCTATCTCAAATCGCGCCAACGTCTGGTCGATCCGCTCTCCCGCATGCACGCGAAAGTCGATGAGAGCCGTTCCCGAATTAAGTTGGCGTTCCTCCTCTAGATTTTGAAACTTCGCGCTGAGGAGGAACATGATGTAGGCGACGCCGTCAGTATGGCGACCACCGATCTTTACGCCAAAGCTAACGATTGCGGAACGTACTCTCATGGCCATGGTCCTTGCGAGCCCTCCCAGACTATGCTGTAATGCCGCGGCCTGTTCAGAGGGGGTCACGTTGCCTGTGGCCACGTTGATCCAGGCGTGTACTTCGCGAACAAACATGCGGAAGGGCACGTTACCGGCAGGGTCCCAATGGGGGCCGGTAGTACGCGCGTCGTCTCCGCCACGCTGCATGTGCCCAACAGCACATCCAATAGCGACCCATGGGAGGCCAAATACGGTAATACCAAGGGTAGACTTCGAGAGTGTAGTAGCGCAGAGAGGTAAGACTCATGTAAGAGGCCTCCGCGCGAACGGAGGTAGCACTGCAACAGTCTTTGCGGTTGTGCGTAGATATGTACATTCCCCCGCGCAGACCCACTGCACCCTGTTCCACGATGTCAGTAGTCCACCAGATAGTGCCGCGGATGGTGGGGAGTAGAGCCAGAGCTGACCACCGTAGGCCAGCTCCGCTACCAAGTTTGAGAGGGGGCTGGGAGGCCCAACCATACGCTTCGCCTAAGGCGAAGCCCATATCCAAGTCTGTTGTACCGTCATACCGATGGTCCCAGAAGGAGGAGATCGTCACAGGAGCGACGGGACATGTCAAGCGAAGATGTTTTCGGTCCCAATGGCAAGTAGCGCGCCGCGCGATGCGGCACAGTCATATATTGGCGGCCGGCCGCTTGAGCACAAACAGCCGCGGACAAACGCTCACAATCTCTCGTCTTTGCCCCAACCTCATTTAGAGTGCAGGATGCGGATAAATCCCACCAGCCCTCTGGACGTAGGTGGTTTAGGGAGTTTGTCTTTCAACCTTCTTTCCCTCTGGAAGTGGTTTACATCTCCCACTAATGACCCTCTCCTCTGGGTCTGGAAACCTACCACCGCGACGCAGTCGAGCGTCCAAGGTGGCCCAAAATGGCCTCAAGAGGGCCTCAGATGGCCCAAGAGGGCCTCCAAGATCGCTCAAGATAGCATAAGATGGTTCAAGATGGTCCCAAGATGCCTCCAAGAGGCTTCGAGACCGTCCCAAGACGGTTCCAAGTGGCCACGGAGCCTCCCCAGGGACCCCCCCCAAAAAAAACTGAACTCTGTCCAAAACCTTAGGACATTGCATGGTTTTTGCCTTCTGCCCTTTTCGCTTCCGATGGGCTTCTGAGGCCTCGAGATGGCTCCGAGATCGCCCAAAAGAGCCCCATGAGGAGTCCAAGAGCGCCCCAAGACGGCCCCAAGAGCACCCAACAGGGCCCCAAGAGCGCTCCAACAGGGCCCCAAGAGGAGAGTTGTCGTCGAAGGGGCGGCCGTAGTTGGGGCACCCCCCTCCCTGATCTATGGCTTCGAAGCCTCCCTGATCTATGGCCTCGAAGATAGTCTCACCAGGGGCCCCCAAGGCCCCGACGACGGCCCCAAGTGAGACCCAAAGGCCTCCCTCCAAAAGAGCTTCAAAAGAGTCCCGAGAAGGTCAACGTAAACCGCCAGGGGGGCTCCCATGTCGACAAATGCGCGAATATATATGGTTGACTACTGGGCCTGCTCAGGCTGATCATGATCTTGCGTTTAACGGCAGCCCCCCGTTGATCGACTGCATGCTCCCAACAAGCATCATCATCATCATCATCAACAACAACAACATCATCATCAACATCATCATCATCAGCATCATCATCATCATCATCAGCAGCATCATCGTCATCGTCATCAGCATCAGCATCAGAAACAGCATCATCCTCATCGTCATCATCATCAGCAGCACCATCACCATCATCATCATCATCATCATCACCACCATCGGAATCAGCATCATCATCAGCATCATCATCATCATCGACATCATCGCCATCGTCATCATCATCATCATCATCATCATCATCACCACCATCATCATCATCATCATTATCATCATGATCATCGTCATCATCATCATCATCAACAGCATCATCATCAGCAACATCATCGTCATCATCATCAGCATCATCAGCATCACCATCACCATCATCATCATCATCATCATCATCATCGTCATGGCAATCGTCGTCGTCATCATCATCAGCATCATCAGCAGCATCAGCATCATCCTGAACATCCATCAGCAGCAGCATGGTCACCGTCATCATCATAATCAGCATCAGCATCAGCATCATCCACATCCACATCATCATCATCAGCATCATCATCATCAGCATCATCATCATCAGCAGCATCGCCATCATCATCATCGGTATCATCAGCATCAGCATCAGCATCATCATCAGCATCAGCATCAGCAGCATCAGCAGCATCATCAGCATCATCAAAGTCGGCATCATCATCATCAAACTTATCATCAGCATCTTCATCATCATCAGCATAATCGTGGTCATCATCATCGTGCTCATCATCATCATCATCATCATCATCATCATCATCATCATCATCATCATCATCGTCAGCATCATCATCATCATCATTAGCATCAGCATCAGCATCAGCATCATCTGCAGCAGCATCAGCATCAGCATCACCACCATCATTAGCATCATCATCGTAAGTACCATGAGAAGCATCATCGTCATTATCATCATCATCATCATCATCATCATCATCATCATCATCATCATCATCATCTTTATCATCATCATCATCATCATCATCAGCATCATCATCGCATCCTCATCATCACCACCACCATCATCATCATCATCATCATCATCAGCAGCATCATCATTATCATCATCAGCCGCAACATCATCATCATAGCAATCCCTGTCATAGTCATCGCCATCGTCATCATCCTTTTCATCGTCATCACCACTGCCGTCATCATCATCGTCATAAATAGCATCAGCCACCATCATCATCGCGATTGTTATCATGCTCGCCATCGTCAGAATAATCATCATAAATATTTGCAACATCATCGTCATATCATCATCTTGCCTCCCACATCCCCCACATATCACACCACAACCCACATCCTCCTAATGCCTCCTCCTCTTTTACATGATCCTCGCCCCACCGTCTCCTCCCTCTCACGCTTCCTCCTCTTCCTCCAGCTCACCATCATCATCATCATCATCATCATCACCACCACCATGCCCATCATCGCCCTCCTCATCCTCCTCATCCTCCTCCACCTCCTCCACATCCTCCACATCCTCCTCCTCCTCCTCCTCCTCCTCCCTACTCCCCCTCGCGGGGGTCCCGGAGCGCGTTCCGCGTCTGCCTGTTGTTGTCTTCGGTGAGGGCCTTGTTGTAATACTCGATGGCCTGATCGAACCTGCGCGTTGGGGCTCCGTCGTCGTCGCCGCCCCTCTGAACCTCCCCGTCCTCCACCGGGCACGCGCTGCGGCAAGAGAACTCTACGACTGAATGGCGCCAACTCGATCACTTGCCGCATCATTCCACACATGCTCCTCCAATACTCGGTCACGGAAGCGAGTAGTATATGATCCCGCCAATCGCACAGCCCCTGGCACTTCTGAGCGTCCACTCCTTGCTCGGTCGGCCACTCCTCCGCAAAAAAACGTCCGGGAAACCACCCGTCGCAAACCAGAGAGCACCCGGAAGCTGAAAGCATCCGGGAGCCGACGGAGACGTCCGAAAACCTGAAACCTGGAACTCCAGCATCGCGCTCGCAGGCTGGCCGCGCTGGGCGCATCTCGGAGCCCCTGGCGCACGCGACGCTCGAGCTAGCTGGAGGCGACGTGCGCCCGCCGCCATCGCCCGCCTCGGTCGGCTACGCGGTGAGGCGTGCCTTACCCCGTGGAGGGCCCCGAGGAGCCTCGCCTCTGGGAGCATCCAGGAGCCTCCCTGGCTCCCCCCCCCGTGGCTGGGCGCGCGCGCGGGGAGCGGAACTCTTTCCGCTTCTCGTGCACCGAGGCCAGCCGGTTGAGGACCTCCGCCCCGCAGCCAGCGATCGGCCCAGAGAGCCGACGGCGACGATGCCGACGACGCCGACGACGACGACGACGACGTCGCCGCAGCCTCCGCCGACGACAATGACGACCACGACGACGGCGACGGCGACGACGACAGCGACGGCGACGACGACGCCGACGCCGACGACGACGACGAGCCGAAAAACACTACGACGACCAAAACGACGACGACGACGACGACGACAGCGCCTTCGGCAGTGGCGAGGTGTTGGCAGGATTCTTGATATTTTGCGGAGGCACTCGGCAACTTTCGGATGGTTCAGAAGGGCAGGAGGTCAAACGGACCATGGTGGGGCAGGGACCTTTCGATTCCAGCACTCCGTTTAACAGAATGCTGGGATGTCAGAGCGCATTTGACGGGAGGCCCTCTTGTCAAACGTACAACTGTGGAGGGGCGGGGCAGTTCAGCCCATCTTGGCGTGGAAGACGTAGTCAAACGGCGCGGAGACGGCTCTAAGATAGACACAAGAGGGTTGGCATTGGTTCCCAGAGTCCTGACTGGCCCCCAAGAGGCCTCCGAGAAAGGCCAAACAAGCCCCCAGGAGGCCAAACTTGCTCCAAAAGCGTGGTGTTTTTCAATTGTTCTCGCACACTGCCCTCTTGAAGCTCAAGACTGCCTAAGGAGACCCAACAGGCCACCGAGACTAGCCCACGACGGCTCCGAGGCCACAAGAGGGCCTCCCAAAAGCCCCAAAACAGCCCCCAGGCGGACTCGAAAAGAGGTCCGCGGATGGACGGCGCCCTCCCCAACCACCACAGACCAAAAGAGGCCTGCAAGAGAAGAGGCCGCCCAGATGTCCCCAAACGGCCCCGGAGCTGGTATGGGGGACAGGGGTCCTGAGCGAACCGAGTCCTGGACCCCAGGGCTTCCTACGAGACTATCTATTCATCCCGAACTCGTGTGTAGTCCCTGGACACAGGGGGTGACGGGGGCCATGGGAGGCCGAAGACGGCAAAACGTTGTACGTCGCAGCGCGGCCGAGGCAATCCGCACGCGCGCTCTACTGAGCCAGGCTATGGCATGCAGGAATTGTCTGGGGGCCCGCGCGCCTTCTGCGCGCGCCCCGTAGCGCGAGGGGGGGTCCTCGTCCAGAGGGGGGCGCGCTGCTGGAGGCGAGCCGCAAGTCGCAAACTGAGCGGAAGCTCGAATCGGGGCTTGAGCGGAAGTGCGAATCGGGGGCGTCACAATAGGTCGCAAGCTTGCTGGGGGGCCGCAAGTCGAACAAAATCTTGAATCGGGGGCGTCCAAGAGGGGGGCGTCCAAGCCAGGATAGAAAGCCATGGCCAGAGGCAGGTGCGCGGCCCAGAGGGGGCAGGGGAGCGTGACGAGAGAAAAAAAGGGCACCATGAGGTCGGGGAGACTCAATGGCCCCAGCCATGATATGCACACACCCCTGGTCATTCACCCCCTTCTGAGGCGCCCTCGATTGAAGGTTCCCTCTCCACCCTCTTTTCGCATCCCTCCTCCTCAAGCGCGCGCTCTACACTCGGGCAAGTGAATGATGTGACGCACTGTGGCATAATGCGTTGCCGATAATCGCTGCAGAAGGATAGCCTCCCCCACCCGCCCAGGCCACGCCGTCACATCCGAGCAGCCAACGTGGTCGCCGCTTTGCTGTGCTCCAAATCGGCGCGAAACCGGTATGCATTGTAGTACTGTGTTCGGACGACGCTCGGAAGGCCCTCCAAATGCCTCAGGCAGTCTCACGGGACACCACGAGGGCCTCCAAAAAGCCCATGATGCACCAACAAGCGGGCAACAGGAGGAAGAGGAGAAAGAGGATAAGGAGGAAGAGAAAGATGAAGTCGAACTGAAAGCGAAACCAGAAGAGGCGGAGGAGGAAAGCTAAGGGGAAGGAAGAGGGGGGAGGCAGGAGGGGGAGAAGCAGCGGAACGAACACGTTTCCGGACGTGTAGACTCCGAAGCGAGGGGCATACGAGCCAGGGGAATACAGGGAAGAGGGCTGGCACGCGGCAGACATCTGGATACATAGCCCCAGAACCTGTAAGCAGGTCAGAGTGAGGGGCCGAACAGTCTTACACCATCACTGGGTGCGTGGCTGAAGCGTGACTCCGCGGCGCGGATTCTGGTTGTTGCGTTGCGTTGCGTTGTTGTCGTCGTCCTCGCCCGCGACCCGCCCGCGACCCACCCGCGCCCACTCGCTCTTTCGGCAACTGCGAGGGACTACAGTCAAAATGTGTATGAAGGACGGGTGGCAAGGACGCAAGACCCTTGGAGGCCGAAGTTGAGACTTGTTGGGCGGCGGGCGACCAAAAACCCCAGGGACGCAAGGGTACCCTAACCCAGGCAAGGAACGCAAGGGACGCAGGCCAGTGAGAACGGCAAAAGACGGGCCGCAAAGGCAGGGACAAAAAAATACCCTCAATAAAAACTCCGGGTAAACCCCTCGACATCTCCATGTACCCCACATCTGGGCCCCTGGGGCTCCGCCGCAGGCCGCGCCCCCGCGCGCTGGTGCCAGAGCGAGCGCAGCAGCCAGAGCTGGCTCGCAGGTGCATTTCACGAGACAAAGGCATGCTGCGCTGCATCTTCGGAAGACCTCGTCTGTCCCGTCACGCCGCGATCCACGTCGAATCCGTGTCGAATCCGTGTCGAGCGCATCGAATCCGTGCCGAATCCGTGTCGAGCGCGACGAATCCACATCGAATCCGTGTCGAAACCGTGTCGGATCCGTGTTGAATCCACGTCGAACCCGCGTCGAACCCACGTCGGAGTACAAGAAAAGACTGTCATTCACAGGACAGGAAAGGTCCACAGAAAATGGAAAGGAAAGAATGAGGTACAGGTACAGGACCCGGTTGGCGTTGCAAAGACAGCGTGCAACATCGGTCTCCGCAAAGCATGCTGTCCATATGAGGAGATCACCCCGCGAGGGCCCCTTCTGTGCAAGCTATCCCCTTCGCGAGGTCCTCGTCAGTGCACGCAATCCCCCTGCCAGGACTTCCTCGGTGCACGCTATTCCCAAGGTGGCGTGACACAAGCGGGCCAGCGGCGCCACATCACACGCTATCTTTGCAACGCCAACCGCAAGTACATTCCACTGGAGTTGGCTTGAATGGGCAGCGAGAGAGAAGACACCTCCTCATTCTCCTCTTCATCCGATTGCGACGGCGACGACGACGGCGACGGCGATGACTACGAAGAAACACATGAGCAGGAAGACGACGACGAAGAATATGGAACACGAACACCACGACGACGACCTCCACCACGGCGGCCACGGCGGCGACGACGCCGGTTGCCCCCCCGGTTTCGTGTTTTTGTTCACAGCGTGACCTCCCAAGGTATGGATTTCATCCCCTGGAGCAGCTTTTCCTCTTGAGCCGTCTTTGGCGGTCTCCAGACCCAGTAAGCGACCCCAAAGAAAGAAAATCAGAAACCTTCCGTCTGCTTCGCTACGAGAGGAGGTCTGGCTTTCGGCTCATGTCTCGGCCTCTGGCGACTAGGTATCGGCCCCCAGGCACCCCCGACACGGTCTCAGCGAGACTCAACCGCTGGAAGGCACCCTGGGCCCGAGAACCTCCAAGAATGAACAAACACTTCTGAAAGCTTTCGGACGACGACGACGACGACGACGAAGACGACGAAGAAGACGACGACGACGACGACTGCTTCCACCGCGAGAGGAAGTCTGACGCCCGCCGGCCGGGCAAGGGGCCTTGGCCACCTTCTCGAACGACGCGCCGCCCGGGTTCGCGCTGAAGGAGCGGCGGCCGCGAGCGACGACGACGAGAGACCGCCGACGACCGACGACTGGCGATCGACGACCGGCGACATTCGACGGCGACCGACGGCGAGGGCGACGACGAGCGGCGTAGCGACGACCATGGCGACAGCAATGACGACGGCGGCGGGGGGCGCGATGACAGCGCGGCGGCGGCGAGAGGAAAACGAGGGGGCAAAGAAGGAAGTGCAGGACGTAGACGACAACGACGACGACGACGACGACGACGACGAGACAAGGAAACGAGGACGAGAGCGCAGAGGCTAAGGAGGAGGGAGAGGTGGGGGCGGCGGAGGACGGCGACGATGACGACGGCCGCGAAGACGACAGCGACCACGACGGCGACGAAAATGAGTACGGAGGAGTAGGGGGAGAGTTAACCAAGAGGGGGAGGAGAAGGGATCCGATGCATGTTTGAACAGCATGCAACCACGCAAGCCTGACTGAATCCCAGAAAGAAAATATCCCTCCACATCCTCGTCCTCCTCCTTCTCCTCCTCCTCCTCCTCCTCTTTCTCCTCTCCTCTCCTCTTCCACCTCCTCCTCCTCCTCCTCCTCCTGCTCATCCTCCTCTTCCCCCCCCCCTCCCCTCTCCCCTCGTGTTGCCGCTCGCCGTCCCGCGCCTGCCCCCGCGGCGTGACCGCGGCGGGCCAGGGCGCCTGTTGATCTCGTATCGCCTCGCGATAAGGTCCTTGCACGTCTCCAGGACCTTATCGTAGTACCTCGCCCGCGCCGCCACAATCGCCGTCGTCGTCGTCGTGGTCCTCGTCGTCGTCGCCGCCGCCGCCGTCGTCGTCGTCGTCGTCGTCGACGTCGTCGTCGTCGTCGTCGTCGTCGTCGTCGTCGACGTCGTCGTCGTCGCCGCCGCCGCCGTCCTCCTCCTGCTGCAAGATTGGCAGAACGATGCGAATGAGCAGACAGCTGTCTTCTTCGGTTTAGCAAACGAGGGTACGATAGTGTGCTCAGCTTAGCCGCCGACTGGCGAACTCAAATACGTGAGCCAAATACCGCACACTGCTCAGTAACAGAGAGGGCTATAGTCAAACTCTTCCTCCTCCTCCTCCTCCTCCTCCTCCTCCTCCCCATCCTGCCCACATCATCCTCCTTCTGCTGCTCGCCTTCCTCCTCTTGCTTCTGGGGGGCTCGTAATTATCTTTCCCAGAGTGCCGGGGTGTGGGGGAGGAGGAGGGGGATGGGCTTGAGGAGCAGGAGGAGGGCGAAGGGGGAGGAGGAGACGAGGAGGGAAGAGGGAACAAGAAGGACGTTGAAGGCGAGGGAGGAAGGAGGAGGTGTTCGGATGGTCTTTGAGGTATGTAAGTCAATGGAGGCTTCCAACAGTTCCTGGAGGCTTCCAAAGAAGATCCGCCACCGTTCCGCTGGGCACGGACTGGGCGTGTCCTCAGGTCCTGTGCCCAATCCCCTGAGCCTCAGTCCTGACTCCTGAGGAATCTGTAAGGGGCCCGGAGCCTAGATTGCCAAATCTCCCAGAGCTTGTCGCATCCCCCCTGCGGGTTCGGCATCTCTTCGCATAACTTACTCGGGTCACAGAGGGCCCCAACACGGACCAAGAGGGCCCCAAGAGGCCCCGAAAAGGGTCCAAGAGGGCACCGAGTCGCCGAACGATCGCTCCAAGACGCTCAATATGGGCCCCCAGACGCCTCAAGAGGCCTCCAAGAGGCCTCCAAAGGCCCCCAGAGGCCAAATTGGAGCTGTTTGGCGTTCTCGCCTGTTCGACTTCCCGACGCTCCCAGAAGGCCCTAGAGGCTCCCAAGACCGCCCCAAAACAGCCCAAGGGGTCACCAAGACGGCCCAAGATGAGGCCCAAGACAGCCCAAGAGGCCCCAAAGACGGCTCCAACAAGTGGCCCAGATTGGGCGCAGGAACGGACATTTCGAGCCTTCGGCCCCGACGGGCCCCCAAGGGGCCCCAAGAGGCCCCCAGGAGGCCCAAGACGCCCCGAGAGGCCTCCAAGACACCCAAAATAGTCTCTAAGACGGCCCTAAATTGCCTCAAGAGGGTCCCAAGCTGGTTCAGAGGCCCCCAAGACAGCTTCAGACGGCCAAAGAGGTCCCCAAGAAGAGGCCCAAGGAGGCCCTCAGGAGGCCTCCAAGAGGCCCTCAGGCTGCTCCCAGGAAGCTCCAAGAGTGTCCCGAGAGGCTCCCAAGAGCTCTCTTCCTCCTCCTCCTCCTCCTCCTCCTCCTCCTCCTCCTCCTCCTCCTCCTCCTCCTCTCCTTCCTCTCCTCCTCCTCCTCCTCATCCTCCTCCTCCTCCTCTCCTCCTCCTCCGCTCCTCCTCCTCATCCTCCTCCTCCTGCTCCTGCTATCCTGCTCTCCTGCTCTCCTGCTCTCCTGCTTCCTGCTTTCCTGCTCTCCTCCTCCTCCTCTCCTCCTCCTCCTCCTCCTCCTCCTCCTCCGCCGCCGCCGCCGCCGCCGCCGCCGCCTCCGCCTCCGCTCCGCCTCCGCCCGCCTCCGCCTCGCCTCCGCCTCCGCCTCCCTCCGCCTCCGCCTCCGCCTCCTCCTCCTCCTCCCCTCTTCCCTCCTCCTCCTACTCCTCCTCGTCCCTCCTCCTCCTCCTCCTCCTCCTCCTCCTCCTCCTCCTCCTCCTCCTCCTCCGCCCCCTCCTCCTCCTCCTCCTCCTCCTCCTCATCATCATCATCATCATCCCATTCCTCTTCCTCATAGATAACTTCTCCCTGTCGCACCTCGAGGCTAGTGTTTAGGGCGGTCCGGGCGTTTCGCCTGAGAATTCCTCACCATTTACGACCCTGAAGCTTAAAAGATGACAACAGTTTCACAGATGGGGGGCGGGTCGTTTTCAACATTTAGCTCTCGCCTTAGCGCCTCGCACACTTGTCTACAATAAGTAAAAGAGCTTCACGGATTGAGGGCGGATCGTTTTAAAATGTGGCTCTCGCCTTAGCGCCGCGCACAAACGTTTTAACAATTTGCAAGGGTTTCACGAATTGAGGGCGGTTCCTTTTCAAAATGTGGCTCTCGCCTTAGCGCCTCGCACACTCGTCTACAAAAAATGCAAGAGCTTCACGGATTGAGGGCGGATCGTTTTAAAATGTGGCTCTCGCCTTAGCGCCGCGCACAATCGTTTCAACAAGTTGCAAGGGTTTCACGAATTGATGGCGGTTCCTTTTCAAGATGTGGCTCTCGCCTTAGCGCCGCGCACATTCGTTTAAAAAATTCGATGGAGCTTCACGGATTGAGGGCGGCTGCTTTCCAAAATGTGGCTCTCGCCTTAGCGACGCGCACATTCGTTTTTTCAAATGTGCAAGAGTTTCACGGAATCCCATGATCAGCGTACCTGAAATTGTGCTCTGGAAGGATTCCGGATTATGAGGATGCACCAGTTACGTTGGCTCGCGGTGTTGAAGTCCCAGAAATGGCGTTCTCTCACGATTCAGGATCGTCAAGACGCAACAATCATATTGATCCGTGGCGTTGGAATCCAGAGACATGCATCAGGGTCTTCAGACGGTTGCTTTCCAACGAGGCAGTTCCCTCAGTGGAAATAAACACTGGTAGGGGCCTATGAAGATGGAGCCTGGAGGGAGGGTGTATTCCAAAATCGTTGATGACTCTTGGGTTTAGCACCGGTCCTCCTCCTCCTCCTCCTCCTGCTCCTCCTCCTCCTCCGCCTCCCCCTCCTCCTCCTCATCATCATCCTCCTTCTCGTCCTGATCCTCCCCCTCGTTCTCCACAGAGTGTTCCTAGAAGAGCTTCCAAAGCGGCTGGGGGAGTACATAGTCCGATAGCTTACGTTTGGCCGCAGAAGCGCTTCCCAGAAGGCAGGGGGCAGCGGTGATTCGCCGCAGGCGCCTTCGATAAGGATGAGGGGAAGAAGGGGAAGGAGAGCAAGAAAAAGGAAAAAGAGAGGGAGGAGGGGGACGAGGGAGAAGAAGGGGTAATTAGGAGGGAGAGGAGAGACGAGTAGCAAATGAGGAGGAGGACGAGGAGGAGGGGGAGCTGGTTGAGCGGTGTTGCTCGATCTCTCTCCGCTGAAGCGTCCCCCAAGTCATCCTCAGCACGATCACCATAAATCTGCCACTGCGACGCTGTGCACGGAGTGGGCGTGTCCTCAGGTCCGTTGCCTCATCCCTGGAGCCTCGGTCCCCGGTCCTGACGAGGCTTAAGGGGCCAGGGCCCCAGTTTCCGAAATCTCTCGGGGATTGGCGCATGCCCCCCGGGCTTTGGGAAGTGGTGGCAGGTGACTCTCGCTTGGCCCAAGAGGGCCCCAAGACGGGCCAAGAGGCGCGGGGAGACGCGACGGGGCCCAAGAGGCCCCCAACCAAAATCGATCCAAGACGCCCAAGATGAACTCAAGACGGCCCAAGAGGCCCCCAAGACGCCCCAAGACGCCTTCAAAGAGGCCTCCCAAGAGGGCCCCAAGAGGCAAAAATCATTGGTTGTCACGGCCCAAGAGGCCCCCAACACCACCCCAAAACGGCCAAAGGGGCCTCCCAGAGTTCTCCAAGACGGCCACAAGAGCGCCCCAAGACGACCCAAGAAACGCCCAAGACGGCCCAAGAGGGCCCCAAGACGGCCCCAAAAGGGGTCCAAGAGAGGGTACACGAACCGAAAATCCGAGCCTTCCGCCCCACGAGATCCCAAAGAGGCCCCAAGAGGCGCCCAGGAGGCTCCAAGAGGCAACGAGGCGGCGACGGCGAGCACGGAGCCGCCGGACCGCCAGCCAGGCCCAGACGACGGGCGGCGACGGAGCGGCGACGGCGAGCACGGAGCCGCCAGACCAGCAGCCAGGCCCAAACGACGGGCGGCGACGAAGCGGCGACGGGGCGGCGGCGGCGAGCACGGAGCCGCAAGACCGGCAGCCAGGCCCTGTTCCGTAGAAGAGAAATCAGAAACCCTAAGCGCGAGCCAAGTTTGAGGAATGAGGGGGAAGCGATGGCGGAGGAGGAAGAGGGAAAAGAAAGGAGGGGGGAAAGAGAGGGGAAGGATGGAGGAGGGAAGGCCTGGCCCCTCGCATCCACCCTCCCTCTCCCATCCATGATTTTGCTTTCGAACCCGCCATCCAGAAACCCTGGGGGGCCCTTTTGAGCTCCCCAGAACCAGCACCCAGCTACTGTCCCCTGCCTCCGCGGTACGCCCGTCTTCTCCTTCCCCCACCCCTCCCCCACTCCCCCACTCCCCCTTCCTCAATCACACCTCACACATTTCGTCCTTTTCCTCCTCCTCCTCCTCCTCCTCCTCCTCCTCCTCCTCCTCCTCCTCCTCCTCCTCCTCCTCCTCCTCCTCCTCCTCCGCTCCTCCTCCTCCTCCTCCTCCTCCTCCCCTCCTCCTCCTCCTCCTCCTCCTCCTCCTCCTCCCCCTCCCCCTCCCCCTCCCCTCCTCCTCCTCCTCCTCCCCTCCTCCTCCTCCTCCTCCTCCTCCTCCTCCTCCTTCCTCCTCCTCCTCCTCCTCCTCCTCCTCCTCCTCCTCCTCCTCCTCCTCCTCCTCCTCCTCCTCCTCCTCCTCCTCTCCTCCTCCTCCTCCTCCTCCTCCTCCTCCTCCTCCTCCTCCTCCTCCTCCTCCTCCTCCTCCTCCTCCTCCTCCTCCTCCTCCTCCTCCTCCTCCTCCTCCTCCTCCTCCTCCTCCTCCTCCTCCTCCTCCTCCTCCTCCTCCTCCTCCTCCTCCTCCCTCCTCCTCCTCCTCCTCCTCCTCCTCCTCCTCCTCCTCCTCCTCCTCCTCCTCCTCCTCCTCCTCCTCCTCCTCCTCTC